ATCACAACTACATATTCTGATATTTTCATGGTAGCAGCTACCATTGTACGGCCGTAGTCGCTATTTGAAATTTATCAAAATTTACCGGGAGCACCGGTAATTTTTTATAATCAATTTTTTCTCGAAAGCAGAAGTGTTTTAGGGGCTAAAATTCATAGTGCTTATAATTCATCCCATTGGGCATCCAAATATTCCAAAATGGTAAAGAATCACTATCCCCCAATTTTCAAAATTTCCAAAAACTTTGTATTACCTTTAATCTGTATATGTATTTGCATCAAACTTGAATTTTCATTCATTGTGTGTAAATAATGGCATTGAAAAATCATAAATTGATCCTATTTCAAACTTCAAGATCGTAATGAGTATTGTACAAATATGACACTATATTCAATGTGTTTTTTGTACATTAATAAGGATATATTGACTGCTTTGAGAGGCATAGTGGTTTCTATAGGGTCAAGGGAAACTCACAACCTGCTATGACCCCAAGGCGCTTGCGCCGCGGGGTCATAGCAGGTTGTGAGTTTCCCTTGACCCTATAGAAACCACTATGCCTCGAATATTAAAAGCAGTCAATATATATTTTATATACCGAAAAAAAGGAAAATGTTGACTCACCCATTTAGGTTTCCATCTCATCGCACAAAAGAAACTTATACGGTAACACGTAAACCAAAATGGGGATCGCAGCAAAATGACGTCACGTTTCACAGCCATGGAAAAAGTGCTATGAAAAATGGATATAAACCGGTAGAGCCGGGAAAAATGACTATGAATTTCAATTAGCGGGCATGGTTGGGGATCGCAGCAAAATGACGCCCCTTTTTACAGCCATGGAAAAAGTGCTATGAAAAATGGATATAAACCGGTAAAGCCGGGAAAAATGACTATGAATTTCAATTAGCGGGCATGGTTAAGAACATGACTGCATTTTCAACCAATCAGAAGACAGGATTAGTAAAGAATCTTAAAATGAGGTATATAAATACAGCTATGTTATCAAACAAAAGTGACACTCTCAAAAAGACTCTTGCTCAGATTCTTTGAATTTTAATGAACATGGTTTATTAAAGGCTCCTGCCTGTTCAAAAACACACTCGAAAGAAGTCTTATATCTACTCCAACATAAAAATTTACAAAACAATTTTTGACTCACACATAGTCATAACATGCATTTTTTGAAAACTAAGACTTACCGAGTCATATCTAAATCAGCAAATCAACTTAGACTTGTCAAAGATTGTTGAATTTGCCAGAGTGAAATTTATAATATCGACTCATGGGAAATAAAATAATGTACAATGTACATGTACTGTTTTGTTCTTATTGGAACATCTAAAAATGGCAGATAAACTAAAATTTGCCACGCCAAAAAAAAAAGCTAAACATTTTCTCAGCATTTTGTTGCAAGTTCTCACATACACTGTACATTAATGTTCTAAACATCGACATGTCTTTTTTTTCTTTGACCATAATTCTGAACTGCCCTGTCTGAAATCAAGCACTTTTCTTCTCTGCACATAAACATACTTGAACTGATGATTGCAAGTACAAATGAAACACGGAATGAACACATAGTCTTCAAGCCAATCTATACAATGGAACAACAAAGTATCCAACGGCCTGTCTGGCTTCCAGTGTCTTAAGAAGCAAATAATTAAAGGTACTGGGTCAGAGTGTTCATTCAATGGGAATACTATGTTCTCATCAAAACATTCAACAAGACTCTTCTCCCAAGCTAAGACTATTTCCTTATAAGTCATAATGCCATTCCGGTGTGGCAAACAAAAAATTTCAATGAATTTCAACCAATTTGGCCAATAAATTTAGGAAATTAGGCAGGGAAAACCTCTTGCGTTACCCAATTAAGGCACATGTTTGGCGTGCAATGTTTGAAAAACAGAAAACAAACAGAAAGCCACATCACAATGTTGATAATGATGCACCTCTACACATAATTCCCTTTTCCACACTGTGATATTGTGTGTACCACGCAAATCAACTTAGGCGAGGCGTCAAAAATAAATATACCAGCCGGCGGCAGCTAACTGCACTTATGCGTCTTGGCTGCATTTTTTAAATTAGCTCAGCCGGCTAGCGCTGGCGGTAGGAAATGGCATCCAAAAGCATGCGCCGGCTGCCGCCTATCGAATGGAAACCGAGCCTCGGAAAAAGCTAGAAAACATGAGCTCAGCCTGGCTGCCGCCGACGGGAGGACAGTGATATGCCGCCAAACTCCAGCCTCTCGCATGGAAGCCGAGCCTCTTCAGTTAATGAGGTCGCCTGGGCCCCCGCCGGCCTAATTGAACCAGCCACCCGCCGCCTGGTTCACCGCCACATCCTGCCAAACGATATCTTCATAAAGCAGAATATAATTTGTTAGAGCAAAAGAAACAGCGCCATCTGATCATCACTGATAAATAACTCGAAAAAACAGTATAGCCTTGCGAAAATAATCTTTTCAGATTGGACAGCCTTATAAACCCCAAAACAACAATAACAACTTGTCACTAGAGACAATATGTGGTCATTCTTTTCTGATATGCCTTTTTCAATAAAGAGACCAGTCGTACCGTGGATATATGTGGGCTCACTTCATATAGATGCATCCTGCCTGTAAATGGATTAGATGCCTTGTATTTTCATATTCAAAACAAATAATTTTGGTAACAACATAAGATTTGCTATTTTAAATTACTGGCTCGCCTATTGTTTATAATACCCAAATCATATATTTGTGTTTATTTTTGTTATGCTTCAATGATATAAATCCTATTATATACCTTACTTTAAGAATCTTTCCTAATCCTGCCATCTGATTGGTTGAAAGTGAAGTCGTGAGTTTAACTATGCCCGCCAAAATGATCTGTTTTTAAATATGCCTGCCAAAATGTTATCTTTGTCAAGTCGAGGTGAGGGAGATAATATTATCTTTGTCAAGTCGAGGCGAGACAGATAATATTTATATTATATTATAATATGCCGCCGTCATGTTTTTAAGTTCTGATGAGTTGCGTTTGAAAGATAGAGTTCAGTCTAGAAATCAGGGGTACTTTGTTTTTCGAAGAATTTAGAAAATATAAATCTAATGTACATCTCTATCAGTTATTTGGGGACTGAATAGATAATAAAAACAAACATGTCAACGGCAAGCAAGACAATGAAGCATATATTGTCATATAGCTTTTTATTAAATGAATTTACTGTAAATATATTGAGTAAATAGGTCGATGATAGAAAAGGGTATAGAAGGTATAAACAGTTTTTCTTCGAGTGTATTTTTTTCGTTTAAAATAGAAATTCTATAGCTCTATTAAAAAGAAAAACAAAACAAAAGCTATGTCGAGAATACAAGTGAGTGATTTAGAAGGAAAGATAGAAATATCAATAATTGTCCGGCCAGCGCACGTCTTAATTATCTGTCTTTAAACAGCGGCCAAATTCAAAGCTCCCTCTATATAGAAAACTTCCCCAATCGGTGCCCGTTGGTCCCCCATGATCCTCTTTTTCTTATGTTAAATGAGAGCTGAGTTAATGAGATAGCCACCTGTCACAGTGACCTCGCTGGCTCGCTGGGCGGTCTAATCCCTTCTGGCTGAAGTAGTAAAGCCTGCCTTTAAAGAAAGAGAAGATGAACTCTATCAAGATTACAAAACGTGTCTTAAGGAAGTGAGAAAAACTATCAATAATAAATAGCCCGGTCTATTTCGTTTTCTAAATTATGGACCGTAAAAATCATGAACTTTTACATTTTGATTCGATCATAATTATGAACCCTTTCTTAATTTCGCAATTTAGAATCCATTTCCAATTTCATAATGGGCCTTTTTCTCATTCATTCATTACAAATAGTTTACTCTAATTCTTTCCTGGCGGCCGCGAAGGTTTACAAGATGGACATTTCAAAAGGGACATTGGCAATAAAAATGCATTATTGAAGTATCATGAATTAAGCAACCGCATAGAAAGAACAAAAAAAGGCATTGAATCAATGAGACATGTTGAACGAAATAAGGTAAAATATGACGATAGATGGAAAAGTAAATATACAACAAGGATGAAGGGGAGAGGGAGAGCGAGGAGAAACAAACGGCGATGAAAAGAGATTTTTTGTAAAGAGACATGAAGAGAGAAGAAAAGACGCGAGTGTTTAGAAAGATTGAGATGGATAGATAAGAGAGAGATATAGAGAAAGAGACAGTGAAAGAAGGACACATAGAGATAAAAAAAAAAAAAAAATAGAAAAAGAAAGAGAGAAGGATAAAAAAGAGAAAAAGAGAGTGACAGGAATATACAGGGAATAGTAACCGGGGATAGTAAGAAATAACTGAATCCTCAATATCAAGATAAAATTCGAATCTTGATTTGTTAACGTTAAATACACACACAATTTAATCAATACGTTTATGATTTCTGAAATGTGTAGATAAATAAAGATAGAGATGTGTCAAGGGGAATTTTCTTAAAGAGCAGCCTAGTGGATTATTACAGTTTCATTCGACGGTCTGGTAGAATACAAACATTGCACTGTTCATTGATCAAGTATTATTATAAATATAAGAATCATACACAAACGCTTTACCTTAAGCTATGGTCACAACTCAGAGCGGCGACCAACCGATTAGTAGCCTGCTCGGTCTCGGTAGAGAAGTCGAGCAGGCTGTAGAGCCTCAGCGACAGGCGCGGATCCAGGAGTTCTTAGAGGGGGGGGGGCAAATTTCCGAGCCAACTTTTCGGATGTCATGGTGGCCAGCAACAACGTAATAAGAAAAAACACTTGGGTGGCAGACATAAAATCGGCATCACCCCATTCTCTTTCATGCGGTTTATTAATTGGCGTAGGGTCAAGGGGGCTGAGCCCCATAAAACTCAGGGATTTGAGTCAATTTATAACGGTCAGATAAGCATTCAGGGGTCCGCTTTAGCTCAACTCTTAATCCTTGTCTGAATTCAGCCCCCCCCCCCCTCCCGCGCGAAGATCAAGACAATATCGAAGATCAAGACAATATCGTTTTAATATGTAATCCCGAACCTTTTGTTTGATCGAGGACTGAAATACGTGACCCATAGTGATCCTGTAACTTCTGTTTCAAGACAGTCGCCCGGTATTGATTTCCTTTATCGACACCAAGCTCCATAAGAATGTCTCGGTACCTATCGCGGAGTGATTCTACGAGGAATCCGGACGGATCATGGAAAAGAGGAGCTTCCAGCTCATCTACTAGTCGGCTGAATGCAACATCATAAGGGTTTAATTTTGGCTGACCAGAATGAATGCGAAGAGCCTTGAATTTGTTCATACATGTTGAATGATAGGTTATATCATTGGCAATCGTATCATGTCCCTGCCCAATCAGCCTCTGTAATATGTCATCTTTGCCCAGCTTCCTTGCCCTCTCCTCAATCGACATTTGACTGCTCTTTGTTGATACCTTACACACTGGCCCCTTTCCCTTCAACTTCCACTTCTTATTGCAAATTATACATGTCTTCTTTGCTTCAAAGCTCTCAGTGTTCTGACGGGTTAACTTGACAGGTTGCTTCGACTGCGATGAGCTGCATCCTGCATGAGACTCACCTTCTGTACTCTGGTTATCAGCAAGACGTTTCTTTTCAGCACACTGGTAGCCTTTCTCATGTATGTACCAGTTACGACATTTTGCATGCCACCTTGGTGCATTTTCCTCCAACCAGGTTTCTGATGCTGACTCGGTGTGAATTCTGTTAAACACTTCATCTTGTCGAGCGAACATGGCTTGTATAAGCTTTGAATATGTTGTTAACTGGATGAAGTATAGACTCATCAAAGACTCTTGTTGGCATATGATGCATTTTGTGTAGTCAGTGCTCATATCTTTGGAAGACTTCTTAGCAGGCACATGCTTCAGGGATATGGCACTATCTGCCACACGTTTGCTTGGCTGCTTACTCATCTTGCTGTAGGAACCTACAATATAGAGGGGGAGGGGTATCGTTTTAATAATAGTTACACTGTTTTCATATTTATATAAATCTAACTTTAAAATGTTACTTAAAGGTATTATGTCCCATTTGCATGCCAAACTAATGAAAAGGTTAAATTCCAACGGGATTTGAAAGATAATACTAATTTAGAAATTCCCTCAAAAACGAAGGGCTTAAAAATGTCTTTAAGTTGGAAGAAAAAAAACGACCATTAGTTGTCGAATCGACTTTAGTGATTGCAATCACCAAGGTAATATTCTGATTTTCAAACCCTTGTACCGACTCGTTGTACGTTTGGTGCTGCGCAGAGATTCAATCCGTTTAATTTTGGCCATTACAAGAAGTGGGTTGTTGATGTAGGCAAATGCTCATGTACCCTTTACAGCTCATTTTATGTATGTTTTTTTTTCTCTTTAATATTTATGTATGTTATTACCAAAGAAAACAGTCAGAGAGTCACTCAATAGTGTCTGACAGTGAAGTCTAGCAAGTAAACGGGTTTCCTTGCATAATTTGAATAGAAGTGAGGAATTTGACCAAAGTAAAAAATATAATTATGCCTTGAATTCAGATTATAACTACAATGTATAGCTATTGTTAGAAAACTTGTATAAAGTACATTTAACTGTGTGGCATACAAATAATATTAGATGAATCTAAATGATACTAAAATAGAAAGATACCTCAAATCACTAAAAACTTAGTCCTTTGAATATTAATTTTGCAAAAAGTAATGTGAATGATGTTTTAATTATAATGTGTACATTATTACAGTGTGACAATTAAAGAGAAGGTTGAGTTCTGGGAAGAGGTGAAAAATAATTTGTGAGCATTACTCATTCTTATTATGCAAGTGTGGAAGAACATCAATTAAGACATGTTCCCTGAAAAGCATGGCTCTTCAAATGCCTTCATATTCTAAATATGCATGTAACATCGTAAAAATCGGGGGGCCGGCTTTTTACGCCACGTGTTCGTGTAGTCCCATATACATCTTTCTGTGCAAGTGTTTGTAACTTTACCAAGACTTGGCCAAATTTCTTATCACTTTGATGATTCCAGAACCTTGCAATACACACACATTCTTATATGCTAGATGATCAACCTTTTCTGGTCGGTTCCACACCGTTTCTTTCATAATGCAATCGCATGACCACAACTCAACTTCATCTTTAAAGGTGAAAAAAAAAAATCAATGTCCCATTTGCTGTAAAACACATACCAATTAAATGATATTGTCGCATGCAGATATTAGAAAGCTTGTTTGTTAATCGCTTACCATTATGTACTAGGTGCTTAAGCGGGATATCATCATCAGGATCACTGACATCATTTTGCACTGAGGCAAAGGAGGCATCCATGTTGTCCCAATCAGCATCCCCTAAAAAGAAAAAAATTCATATTACATACTCGTTTTTAGTGACTAGCGATTGCAGAGTGGAGACAAATGGATAGATGGGAATTTTTTTCTTTTCAGCATTCAATCATATGAAATGTATTTAATGTAAGATTAATGTTTTTATTCATAATATTTACAATGACTGATATTTTCTACAACTCAAAATATAATACACCTCCAGATATTGTAAAGAATGTTTGTTAATCGCTTACCATTATGGACTAGGTGCTTTAGAGGCATATCATCGGGATCCATGACATCATTTTGCACTGAGGCAAAGGAGAGAACTGTGTTGACACTATCAGCATCCCCTAAAAAGAGAGAATTCATATTCAATACTTGTTTTGCTGACTAGCCATTGCATAGTTGAGAAAGAGAGGAATGGATGGGAAATGTTTTCTTTTCCTCATTCAATCATATGAAATTTTATTTTATGTAAGATTGATGTTTTAATGGCTAACATTTTGAATGACTGATATTTTCTACAACTCAAAATAAATGATATATAAGTTACCTGATGAGGTACGATAAATCACTTGAAGTACCTTCCCTGCCCACCAACGCCCACGTTCATCTTTCATCTTCACGTTGGTCCCTTTCCTTAATGGATTCTTCTTAAAGAACCAAACATCTCTCGAATCAACGTAGTGCCTGGATCCATCCTTCTTCCATTGGATGAGGAGGTCTATACCATTTGTTTCAGCTGTAAACAAAAAATAACAGCAGTCAATTTAACAAATTTGAATTGTTCAGCTATGTGGTGTTGAAAAGATTTGAAATCTACATTCCAAGTACCCTAGTCTGCGCACCAAGACTTTTCATACAAAAATGAAAAATGTTAAACATGAATCTAAAACTAAATACCTGCGTGACTTGTTCAAAAATTATTCGGAAGATTGATGAAAAAAATCTGAACAACTAACTCACATTTAACACCTCTCCGCTTGGCTAGAACATTGATGTGCACTTAAGTATGTGCACCCCATTCAATTTTATGTACATCCAATTTGCAGCCATTAATTGTGAGATTTATAAAAACTACAAAAGTTGCATTAACTCTGACATTGATTATAACATGACATGGAATGGCGAATTTTTTTCTTAGAAAACCGTCTGTTGCGTCTTTTCTTCCATCGCAATCACACATTAATTAATGCAGTTTAATAATGATAACAAAATAATTATTATAGAGTCTAGGGTCTAGATCTACTTAGATTTAGTCTAGAATCTAGATCTTTAGATGTCTATAATATATAGTACAGACTAGATCGATCTAGACTAGAATATATTTAATGAAACAAAATTATGCACATGCACCTCATATTATTTCACCTTTAATCATAACCATATGATTTTTGTACATAAGCGAATAAAGATGTTCATAATCATAGCTACATGTTTGGATTTAATGAAACAAAATGATGGACATGCACCTCATATTAATTCACCTTTAATCATAACCATATGATTTTTGTTATATAAGCGAATAAAGATGTTCATAGCTACATGTTTGTGTGCCAAAGGTCGCCATAGACCCGACACTTATATTGTAAGTCTAAGCCGTATTCGCCATAACAAGACACGATATACAATACGTGGGACAGGTGTACTAAATTTGTTCATCACCAGACACTCTTCAGTACCGTATACCAACAATAAAATCATTTAATACGTATATCGGCACTTAAATACTTTCAACAACCATAAAGCCATAAGTAACTGATATAAATGACTTATCTGCACATTACAATTTGTTTATTTAATTGCTTACGTAGTAGACTGGAATCCCCGGCAGACGACATGTTGATCGGCAGGGCGTTCTTGCACAAACAATTTTGTACCGCGAAGTCCGCGCTAAAACGCCTCTAGTACGGGAGGGCGTGTACTGCGCTGAACGTAAACCGTGATGACGACCAAGGGCCTATTTGTATTGCTCATAACTCATCAGAAACTTCGAAATAGACAACAAAAAATATATTTCTGGAATTCTTGTGTCATGTAGATTCCATTTCTGTGAAAATCTCAAAAAGGCTCAAAATCGTCAAAAATAGCAGACGACACAATATTTGGAGCTAACTGGGCGTTCTTGCTCCGACGCGACGAATTTATTACAAATTCCAGGCGGATATTTTCATCCCAGAAGAATTTCAGATGGGGGGGGGGGGGGGTTATTCCCCTTGTGCCTCCCCCGTCACCCAGCCCAACCCTTCCCTGTTCACTATCCCTTCAATCATCAAGAAAAAGATAGAATGCAAGATGGGAATTCGCGTTCCAGTTGCAAGGGACTTGAAATCCTGTCACATATGCCATGCCGCATTGCCGACGCACGTTAAGCGTAATGGAACTGACCTATGCATATTGTCCAAAATGCAAAATATCAAAGTGTGAACTTTGCTACGCTATAACTTTTTGTGCATGACAGCAATAACCCTGTAATTTTCAGATCATATTAAGCTAATATCCGACAAGTTTTCTGGGTATTTTCAAGTCTTCAGTTACAAAAGTTTTTGAATTGTTGAGAAATATGTATTTTAGCGCAATTCATATTTTTGGAAAAAATGTTAAAAAATCACATTTTTGGCCAAAAATTGATATTTAAAGTAAATTCAATCATCATAATTGTGGTACCATCTTGTAGATAATTTAATTCCCTTTCATATGATACCACATACGTGATAAAATAATGTTCTGTTCTAAGATTATCATCCAATTATTGAAAATTGTTTTTTCATGGCGGCCATTTTGAAAAAATGGCCGCCATTTTTTTCCAGCAAAATATTGTCAAGGTAGTCCACCTAGAAATTGTGCAGGAAGGTCTCCTGAATACGTTCATACCAACCGACCTTTTACAACATCCCATGTCTCAAAACCCTCCAAATCAGGGTTTTGCCCCCTGGGTATGTTGTATATCAACGATATCCAAGACAACATCCAGTCCACAATGCGTCTCTTCGCAGATGACAGCACCCTCTATCGTGAGATTCGATGCCCTGAGGATCATCAAATCCTAAAGGACGATCTCCAACAGCTGTCCAGGTAGTCTTCAAAGTGGATGATGGACTTCAACGTGAAAAAGTGCGCTATCCTCACCATCACACGGAAGCGTACTCCCAGCATCCGAGAATACCACCTGTCAAATGGACTGATTCCGAGAGTGAAAGAGTACAAGTACCTTGGAGTTACAGTTGCTGCTTATCTCCGTTGGAACAAGCACTGCCAATCCATCCGGCATAAAGCAAGCCGTACTTTAGGCCTTCTTCGCAGGACTCTCTCACCCTGTACCAGGGATGTAAAGTCCAGGGCCTACACAGCCTTAGTGCGCCCCCAATTGGAGTATGCCTCGGAGGCTTGGAACCCACACAGCGTCACGGTCACAAAAATGCTAGAGCAAGTACAAAGAACAGCGGCTCGCTTTGTGTACCGTGACTACAGATACACCACATCACCATCAGCTCTTGTGGCAGCTCTAGGGTGGGACACGCTTCACACACGACGAATCCTTGACCAATGCACCCTTCTCTACAAGATCCATCACAGACTTGTCTCCATACCTGCACCAACTATTCTTATCCCTGCTACATACTTCGGAAGACACGACCACAACCTGAAGTATGTAATTCCTGTTGCAACTATCGACTCCTTCAAGTTCTCGTACTACCCAAGAGCAATAAGGATCTGGAACCATCTGCCAGGCTCAGCAGTCAATGCAACAGGAATAACCAACTTCAAGGAGGCTGCTCTACCCTCCATCAGAATGATGCAGCCCCCTGTTGGTTCTCACATCGTATAAGCTTACTAGCTTGGTTTTTACTTGCACTGGACTTAGCATATTTTACTGTAAATTGACAAGTGCTTTGTCCACACACCATTCCAGCAATTCATGACACTCGTTGTAGTCACTCGCCTCACCTACCATCCCAGTATAGCTTCCTGAGTGAGCTGCCAAAGGGATTACCCAACCAAGTACCAAGTACACTATTTGATATTGTACTCTATTTTAAGTTGTATATATTGAATCCTTTGTAAATCTGCGATTTTGTTTTGTTCATCTTATGTGCACTTATCTCTTCCCATGCCTCCCAAATATCCTTGGACTTTTTGTAAAAAACCAGTAAGAAATAATCAAAATGCCATGTTATGTATTAGCTGTTACAAATGGGGTCATTTGAAATATTCCAATGTATCAGATTTCTTTTTCCGATCAAACTCTGACTGGAAATGTGATGTTTGTCTCTGGAAAGAGTTGCCCTTCTCCGAGTGTTCAAGTCCTTCCTTTACAACGAACAATGACACGAGTAGGGAAACAGAACATAGCAATGAATCAATCGTAAGTGATGACTTAGACGTTGTTAAGAATGGAATAAATAAATTACAATTACAAAAGGGACTAAAGTTAGGCCATTTAAATTGTCTGTCTTTAAAAAAAACATATTGATGAAATAAGATCTTTGGTAAATAGTTGTGGTATGGACATAATGACACTTAGTGAAACTCATCTCTGCTCTGATGTTGATGACAGTGAATTATGTATACCAGGGTACACAATCTTACGGCGTGATAGAAACAAATTCGGTGGTGGTGTTGCAAATTTTATTAGAAATGGTATCGAATTTTTGAGAAGAAATGACCTGTTGCAAAATACAGATATTGAAATGATTATAACTGAAATTAAACTTGATAAACAGAAATCATTTCTAGTTGTCTGCTGGTACCGACCACCGAACTCGAACATGAAGGTGTTTGAGGAATTTGAGCAAATTATTCGAAAAATAGATAACTTGAAAATGCTATATCATGTTCTTGGTGATTTTAATTGTGACGTGATGAATAGCCCTATACTAAACCACACAAAAAACTTCTTGATATGATGGAGTCATACAACTGTACTCAGTTGATTGAAAAACCTACTCGGGTGACACAGAGATTCGCGACAATCGTTGATCTAATTTTCAGTAACTGTAATGAAAAGATAATTGACAGTGGTGTTGTGGAAGTTTCTATTACTGATCATTACATAATTTATTGTATCCTTGGTAAATCCAGAGCTGGATTCAATAATTATCATAGGTACAAAACTGGAAGATGTCTGAGAAATTTTGACAATGAAGCCTTCAAAAGAGATATTGATTATATAGATTTTAATTTTGCCTATACTATTAGTGACCCAGTAGAGGCTTGCTCAGTGTTTCTGTCTCTTTTATTAACGGCCATTGATAAACACGCGCCACTCCGGAGAACACGAGTTAAACTTAAATATTCTCCATGGATGACGCCCGA